TGTTGTTGTTGTTGTTGTTCTTGCTCTTGCTCTTGCTCTTGCTCTTGCTCTTGCTCTTGCTCTTGCTCTTGCTCTTGCTGTTGTTGTTGCTTTTGCTGTTGCTGTTGCTGTTGCTGTTGCTGTTGTTGCTGCTGCTGCTGCTGTTGCTGTTGCTGTTGCTGTTGTGGTGGTGGTGGTCGCGGTGTTGGTGGCGGTGGCGGTGTTGGTGGTGTCGGTGTCGCTGTTGGTGTTTGCGTCGTTGTCAATATCTTCCAAACTAAGGTAACCCAAAAATTGGTGTGTTTTTGGTTTCCCCAAAGCACCACCCAAACGTGGGTTCAGCATGTTGAGAACTCCATTTTTTTTCCGCGAGGTCAATCGATGCAAACCTGGAGGCTCCGGCAGGGTCTGTGCCATTTGGGGAACAGAACGACTTTCATTGGCGCCCTTTTTTTGCACACTGGCTCCCTAAAAAAAACCGAACTAGCAACATAATTGGAAAGGATTCCCACAAAAAAACAGCTACCAGCAGAAAAAAGCTGATATTTTTTCTTCCATGGGCACAGGTCTAGGGAACAGGACAGGATTACTGCAGGCCATTGCCACCCATCACGTCAAAAGACGGCTCTTGTTTCGTTGGCTGTGGCTTTACGATTGGAGGCAGTGGGCTTGGGGTTTATGATTTGCATCTCGCCAGTTCTGCGCTTACTTCAAGGGGCTGATTGTCAAACATTTCAGTTGGCGACCGACCGTTTTGACTATGGTGTACCACCAGCAAAACCATTGTCGTTGTTTTAAACGAACCCTTTTGGCGGCAAATTTAAAAGGCAACTAAATGGAACCACCATTCTAGGGGTCCCCTCTTTCGAAACTCACCCAGGTGTGACAACTGGGTGTTTTGTTCTCACCTTGACCTTGGCATGTCATTTCTGAAGGACTGTGTCAGCCCAATGCAGCAGAGATGTGGCTGGCCATGCACTCAGAGACGAAGCTTCGGGCCAGGCGTGTCAGTTGGGAGATGGAACCAATGGCTCGAGTCGTCTCGTTTTTGGCTTCAACATGAAACACTGGAAGCAGTGTTGGGGGCAAGAGCAGACAGGCCAAAGCCGAGGAATGGGTTTGGCAAAGGCTAAGATGGGAAGCGAATGGATGAGAAGGTCGTCTCAGACAAAAATTCGGATGTGAAGCACAAAGGATCCCAGGACACCAACCTTGAAGCATTGCATTGCAGTAAGGATTGCTCACCTTGCCAAGCGATCTCCGACACAAGCCGCAGGCTTTGATTGACAGTCAGAAAGCTTATTGGCACCAACCAGAAGGGGCGTAATTGTGGTTGACACTCATTCTACTGACCTTGCAACGGGCTTTGGTTTAAACGACCTCATCGGAGTCCTTGTTTCAGAGTGGTGAATTAGTATGGTTCACACAGGCTCATGTGGCTTTGAGTGGCAGCCAAATCAATTTTCGGGTTTCGCGTACCTTAAGGGTTTAGGTCATCGTCAGACTCTCGGCGGAGCTTGTGCCCCTTCTGTCACGTGCAGCTCGGCGACCAGCTACAAGTTGGATGTGCCGGGAATAGCGGTATGAACTATGCCCTGTGTTCATTGATTGGCATGAGCTGTGTGTTCTGTCACCACGAAATGAGATCACTAGAAGAGAAGGGTGGGAAAAGTCAACTCTGGGGTCTCCTTAAAAAGTATTCTGTGTTTCGTCTAAATTTTGAGTATGAAACCGAATGTGAGCATATGTTCTGTGTGCCCCAGGGCCAAGCCTAGTTGACGTGACCCAGCCTTTGGAGAGGGCAAAGAACAACGGGACGCTCACGCGAATGGCAAGAGTGGACACTTGACATGCACATTGCGGCGGAAAGATCAACAAAAGAAACATGTCAGCTGAGAATGTGGATGGTCATTATATATATATATATGTATATATATATATATATTTCTTAATTATCATGGTCCCTTTAACTTGGTTGCCCTCTGCAAAAAGTGATATTATTTGTATATATATATATATATATGTATAGTTAGGCTATGCGGTGTGGCCCCGTTGCCAGCCCAGGCCGGATTTAGTGTTTGCTTCGGTCCCGAATCGGCTGGGGCCCAGGAATCCTGCCAGCTGCTGGGACAGGCTCCAGTCTCGACCGGAGCTCGAGCCGGGCTTCGCACGAAACCCGGAGGTTCAACAGGGCTCCTTAAAAGATATCCATTTTCCAACCATTTGAAACATGTGGCTTTTTCAACACCAAAACAAAGGGAAATGGTCAAAGATACACTCTGCAACCCGTTGAACCATGTTGCTTTTTCAACACCAAAATAAAGTTGGAAACCACCATTTACAAGTTGCAATGTTCAGGTGTATAATGCATCCGGATCCCTGTTCCACCCCTAGCAGAATGGCAAGGACCCAAAGACAATCCTTGAAGAATGGTGGTTCTATTCGAACCCCCCCTTCTTTTCATGGTAACCCCAGGGTTACCATTTCTGGGGTCGTTTCTTAGGGTTGGCGAAATGTGACACAGAACATATCATTTTTTCTGGTACGCCCGATGTGTGCCAAGGTTTGAACTGGGCAGAGTTCACTCGGAGGCGCCCCAATTCGGAGCCAAACCCGACTCGTAGAAGTGGCGCGCAACCGCCCCTGTAATGTGAGAGGTTGTGTCTTAATTCCCGAGTTCCTGGACTTCAGTCACTTTGCGGGGCTGTAACATTTTACTGGGAAACGCAAACTTTGGGTACTGTCTGTTGTAGGCCAGTACTCGATTCTCTGGGTGTTGTGTCTTTTTCCTCCAGGGATGACGACTGCTCTACCTGCGCGCCCAGCCCGTCTGCGAGTGTAGGCGCGGTATTGGAAGAAGCACGGGCCAGAGATTGAAAATGGGCGCATCGTGAGGGTACTTGTTTTTCTTTTTCCGGTGGGAATAAAGAGAAAGGACAGCCCAAGGGTTGACACATAACCCAATTCACCCTGGAAAAGGAATCAGTCGAGGTTTTGTTTTTTACTTGCTTGCCAAGCGAATTCTTTTATATCACCATATCATGCCTTGAGTGTTGACTATTCGAAAGTATCTAGTCGATCCAATCTGCGAGCGTGTTTCCTGATCTGTGCAAAGCTTGTTGCGAGGTCATTTATCACGAGAGCCATCAGTTTCTTGGGGAGAACCATCAGCTCGAGTTATCTCTTGCGAGCGAAGCTTCCATTTGGGGGTCTGGGGGATGGGTTGCAATGTGGCCCAAAAAGCCGGATACTCATGTCTCTCTTGAATTTCAATGCGGATGATGCTGGTGATGCAGGGTCAGCATCCCCAGACATAACATCACCCTTTCATCCCATTCTCTTTCGTTGCTCTTAACTCTTGGCATCTTGCAGAGAATGAGCAGGGTCATCCGAGCGAATCCGTGCGGTCTCTTCTTTTTCCTTTGTTTTTTTTCCGTTCGGGCCGTTTGTCACCCTTCCTTGTTCTTGCTTTGGATACTGGGCATCTAGAAAAATGAGCAGGGGCTTCTAGCTGAGCGGTCTTAGGGGATACCGTGGCAGATGTGATGCCAAGTCACAAAGAGCTTCCATCCCGCCCTCAGCTGACAAGTTGAACCTCGACTTGGGTTCTCTCAGGTGGGCATTGCCCATTGGAGCCATGCGTGTGTCCATCCTTTGATTTGTAAGAAGTTAAATTCGGAAACAAATCCGCCTTCAATGAACTGTTATACCACTTAGACATGCTTTCTTTTCACGACCATCAAGAAGAGGTTCCTTTTTATTTCGGAAATATACCCAAATGAGCCAACCACAAGAGGTACCCTTTTGTGTGCCTGGATTCAAAATTAGGAAGTCCTTAATTGCCTCGATAGACCTAAATCATGGACGTGCCACGATAAGCACAGGAAAGCCTAGGATATTGAGGGGATCAGGCAATGCATAAACTCCACTAAGAAAGTCCAAACGGTAAATCGACACCCAAAACTAAAGCCTGAAACAAACTGGGCCAATAATTTTATGACTTAAAAATGGAATTGGGTTCATTGTTCCATCTTCCCTTTTTGGGGAAGACTACAGAATGGAATTGGGGACCCCCATCCCCTCCCCCTATGGTAAGGGGGATCAAGAGGTTCGTGTAAGGGGGATCAAGAGGTTCGTGTTTTGGAAGACATCATGTTTTACCATTCTGAGGTCGCCTCATCGATTACTAGTCAGCAGGACCCCGCTTGCAAAAGCTTTTTTTATGGTCATGTCTTCTAATCGATTCTGTTTCACACAGTCGACCTGCTTAAATATATTTTACTCATTTTCAAGAGTCTCCAGCCAATTCAAACATAACCCCCCCCCGGGTCACTTCCCCACCCAGCTTGCTGGTCGTTACCCACACAGGAGTCTTTTGGACATGCATGGTGCTTTCTTTATTGATTCTCGCAGATCCCCACATATAGCAGTTTCAATCTCCACCTAAAACTGCATAAGATGTCCTCCCCCGTTCTCGGCGGACGCCAAGAAACAAACACGTGGCTTTTCCATATTCCCTCTAAACCAGCAAACGCGCTGATTTTTGCAGGGCGGGAAAATCCGTTTGGCCCACACCTCCCAGAAACCTGTGGCCATTCACCCCAAATCGGGTGCCTTTTTTGCCGTGAGGTTTCGACATTTCGCCAGCTTCCTCAAAGGAGCGACCAGAGAGGCCTGGAGTCCACAGGGCAAGGAGCGCACGCCCAATGAGTAGGTGGTTCACCTAGGTCCCCCAGTAATGCCCTTTTGCCGTTTCTTTATTCGGGGGAGGGTTCCCCTACTAAAACAGACTACAGAAAAAAGGGTACCCTTATTCTAGCCTCTCTACTGGAGGACCTGGCCTAGTTTCATTGGGGTGGCACTTGATTGCTATTGGGCTGGATCTTTACCTTTTACTCAGTGAAGAGCAACCCAGACTTGCCGTTGGGTGGTGGAATGGGTTCCCAGTACAGGCAATCTCTTTGGAGCCACTGCCTTTCGAGTCAGCCTTTTGACCACGTGTCCCCGTCACTGGTTGTCTCCTGATTTGGTGGGTGTCAAAATGGGGGAACCATGAGGAAGCCCCAAATCTTGGGTGGCTCTCTTTGTGTTTTCCATGAAATCAACATCACAGAGTACGCTAAATAACTCCCCACACGCTAATGTTCAGGTGGCTCAGGCGCGGTCGCGCGCCTTCGACGCATCGCCTGGATTTGGAAGCTGGAAAGCCTCATTTGTCAGCTACTGCCTTGAGAGCGTCGGGATTGAGGCCACATCACCGGTGGTTGCATGTTTTCCGCCTGGAAAAGAAAATTGAAATTGGCAAGAATTTGATGCCAGTGATGTGTGCTACGGCCTTGATGGGGTCTGGCAGGGATAGTCTTCCACAATGCAGGGATGCTCCAAGTTACAGTAAATTTTGTTGCTCCGAGCTACGTAGCTACAACCACAAAGAGAAACATGAGAGAGTTGGATTCGGTGTGGTCAGCTTGTCGAACAAGATGCTCAGCGACTGATCTTGTGCCCCGGGCTGAAGCCAGCAAAATACGTCAATTAGTTTGAGGGGTCCAGGCGATTGTCCTTCTTCCAAAGCCCAGTGCCACGCCAGGGCTAGAGTGTCGCTCCCGACCATCGACGATGGGACTAAGGCGGAGGGGAGGGTTAGATGTGGGGGTCTCTCAAATGGCGGACCCCCTTTCGATATTTTTAGTGTTTACATATCCCCCACCCCCTTAAAAATGGAATTGGGGGAGGACCCACCCCCCCTCCCCCGTATGGTAGGAGGGATGTTGACATTGAACATGAAAACCACAAGGACATCCACCATGCCTATTTTGAGAAGCACCCGTGATGAGTATCAGATCGACACCCAAATGTCCCACTCAATGTCTCATGTCATTTCGGGCAACAAACGGTTATGTGCGGGGGTACCCTCCCTCCCACTAACATGGCACCTGACAGGGGGTCCCTTGAAGAGGAAAATGATCTTCCAGGTGCCCACTATAGTAGTTGCTATGGTAGTGGAAGGGAGGTTATTCTCAAAAGGAACCGTACAGGCTCCCCTCTATGCCTCTACGAGACGCTCCTCCTATCGTGACACTGGCGAGTAATCTGGGCTTGCCATGATTCCTCAGCTTGCTGCGAAGGAGAGAAGGACCCCCTACCTCAGCAGGTTTTCGTACGTTTCCAAGAAGGCCCTCTCAGACTCTCAGAGGGGTCGAATAAGTGTTCCTCCGGACCCGCGTCAAACAGATCTGGAGATCATAGGTTGAACCTCAATTCCGAAGGACCCACGGTGAACTTGTTTCAAGGGTTCACTTTCATGTCAAAGGATAGAACAAGTCAGATCTTGGTATAGCTGTTTTGAGCTACTCTAGTCGTTTTTCGCTCATTTTGAGGGGTCCACAACCCAACTGGCCAGTCAATTCAGCAGTTGGCCTAGGCTTTGACGCTGGACGCTCGGTAGTTGCACGGGTTCTTCTCAATACATGTCGGCCAAATACGCCTTGACCAGCTGTTTGAATGGGTGCCTACATGTACCATGTGGATGTTTTCAGGTGTGTCCTTATGGGACCCTGTTAAATGCAACTGCCCGGCAGCCCAGAATGGCTCTGAAGCCCATGAGAGGGAAAAGAGAATGAGGACACAGTGCGTTAAATGAACCACAAACACTTGTTTTGACCCCTGGTGACATTTAATGTCGTCTCTGAAGAGATCCTTCATTGTGTTTGACAACTTGACACATCCTCCAATAAATGTTTGACAAACACAACTCGCCAAGCACGGTCATCATGTGTTTGCAGCAACCACCCAGCCTTGCTTGTTCCGTTCGACCGGGTGTCTGAACGTTGTGCCTTTCATATTATTTGGTTTAGTCGGCAACATGTGCCAAAGAAGCAAACTGGCGTACGCAATGTATGTTTCGAAACTTCGACTGCAAGAAACCCTTTTGGCCGCCTCAGAGAAAAACAAATGTTCCAGATGGCGGGTGTATAAGTCTGTGACACGGAACCGGTTTTAGCGTTTTGTTGGGTACGCAAGTCATGAATGCCGGAAGGGCAAGAAGGAAGAACAAATATGATTTCATAGCGAGTATGATGCAAGACTACGGCAGCTTCGAAATCAGGGCGGTATGCAGCTGGTTGGCTCCCCCTTAAACCCGAGAGAACTTGGCCCATGGAGCGGGAACAGAGACCCTACATTTTGGTGGATGGAAGCCACGTTGGGAGAGCTAGATAGACCTGTAGCTTCGCCGTGTGCGAGTTTTGGGTGTGGCAGTGGAAAGAGAGGTTGAGTAAGTGGAAGTAGCCGCAACAACCGGCGTGTTTGTTTAAGGAACAAATAACAAAGAACACAAGATGACTCTATATATATATATATATATGGTACCCCCCCTAGTACCCAGGTGTCGTTGCATCATGTATCAAAACCATTGATATTTACAGTGCATGTTGATTGAACTCATGCATTTTCTGCAAGGCCATTTTGTGGACCAAAAAACCACAAAACCAGAAAAAAAACAATCCTAGCCCCCACCATGGCTGGGATTCTTTGGTTTTTTTTGTTTTTTTGGTTTCTTGGTTGTTTGGTTTTTTGGTCCAGGGAAATGTTGCGCAACAAATTCCAAATGTTGCGCAACATTTGCGGAGCATGAGAGGATATGTGAACCTTTGTGAAAGAAGACATGTTCTGGGTGAGAGGATATGTGAATTTTCTGTAGAGAGGAGTTATTCAAAAAAAAAACATGTTTTTGTGCGAGATAATATGTGGGTCTTTGTGGAAGAGTCAGGGTTACAGTGATTCATAAAAGTACAGCAAAAGACTGTAAATATCATGTAAAACCACCATTTATGTAACAAACACTGACCCAGCCGTAGCCTGGCTTTATTCTACACAGGGTTCACTTTCCTTGGCAACTCTTTCACATATGCTGCCTTTGTTTCATTCAAATAAGACATGTAAAAAGACATGTGTTGGGTGAGAGGATGTGTGAATTTTCTGTGGAAGAGTCTTTGAAAGAAGGCATGGTTTGTGTGGGAAGATATGTGAATTATTTGTGGAAGAGCCTCTGAAAGAAGGCATGGTTTGTGTGGGCGGATATGTGAATTGAAATTTGTGTGGAAGAGCCATTGAAAACGGGCATGGGTTTGGTGAGAGGATATGTGGTTCCTTGTGAAAGAAGGCATGCAAAAAGGCATGTTTTGGGTGAGAGGATGAAAGAATTGTTTGTAGAGAAGAGTTGTTGAAAAGACATGCTTTGTGTGAGATGATGTGTGAATATTATGTGGAAAGGTCTTTGAAAGAAGGCATGGTTTGTGTGGGAAGATATCTGGGCTTTCTGTGGAAGAGCCTTTGAAAAATGGCATGTTTTGGTGAGAGGATATGTGAACCTTTGTCAAAGAAGACATGCTCTGGGCGAGAGGATATGTGAATTTTCTGTAGAGAAGAGTTATTGAAAAAGACATGTTTTGTGTGAGATGATATGTGGGTCTTTGTGGAAGAGTCAGGGTTACAGTGATTCATAACAGTACAGCAAAAGACAGTAAATATCATGTAAAACCACCATTTATGTAACACAAACTGTCCCAGCCATAGCCTGGTTATATTCTACACAGGGTTCACTTTCCTTGGCAAGTCTTTCACATATGCTGCCTTTCTTTCATTGAAAGAAGACATGTAAAAAGACATGTGTTGGGTGCGAGGATGCGTGAATTTTCTGTGGAAGAGTCTTTGAAAGAAGGCATGGTTTGTGTGGGAAGATATGTGAATTTTCTGTGGAAGAGCCTTTGAAAAAGGCATGTTTTGGTGAGAGGATATGTGGTTCCTTGTGAAAGAAGGCAGGCAAAAAGACATGTTTTGGGTGAGAGGATGAAAGATGTTTTTTGTAGAGAAGAGTTTTTGAAAAGACGTGCTTTGTGTGAGATGATGTGTGAATATTCTGTGGAAAGGTCTTTGAAAGAAGTGGTTTGTGTGGGAAGATATGTGAATTTGCTGTGGAAGAGCCTTTGAACAATGGCATGCTTTGGTGAGAGGATATGTGAACCTTTGTGAAAGAAGACATGTTCTGGGCGAGAGGATGTGTGAATTTTCTGTAGAGAAGAGTTATTGAAAAAGACATGTTTTTGTGCGAGATGATATGTGGGTCTTTGTGGAAGAGTCAGGGTTACAGTGATTCATAACAGTACAGCAAAAGACAGTAAATATCATGTAAAACCACCATTTTTGTAACACAAACTGTCCCAGCCATAGCCTGGCTATATTCTACACAGGGTTCACTTTCCTTGGCAAGTCTTTCACATATGCTGCCTTTCTTTCATTGAAAGAAGACATGTAAAAAGACATGTGTTGGGTGAGAGGATGTGTGAATTTTCTGTGGAAGAGTCTTTGAATGAAACAAGGCATGGTTTGTGTGGGAAGATATGTGAGTTATTTGTGGAAGAGTCTTTGAAAGAAGGCATGGTTTGTGTGGGCAGATATGTGAATTGAAATTTGTGTGGAAGAGCCATTGAAAAAGTGCATGGGTCACGTTCAAGGCGTCTTTCTTCAACGAGGCAAACCTCCTTCCTCTGGTCTCCCAGAGTGCAAATCTGAGCTATTCTTCCTGCCTGCTTCCGCGGTCAAAGCACATCTGAACCAAGCCCAAACCTGGGTACCTCGGGGGGGGGGGGGGGGTAGCATATATATATATATATATACATACTCATATTACATGTTTTGGAATGCTATCGCCCTGACGGCCTGACCACCTGGCCCTTCCAAAATTCCTTAGCGCACATTTTGATCATGGCAGCGGGCAAGTCCTTTCCTCAGCCACAAACTTCAAATGCACTGCTTTTCGCTTTTCCCTGAAGTGCCAGCCGATATCTTCATTTGTTCGGCGGCGTGGAGCCATGCCGTGTTGTTTCTCTACCTGGGATTGTCTCCACCCTGGGGGTCTTCTTGCGGGGAGTGACGCTTTGTCGAAGAGTGGATGTACCATGTTTGTTTATAGGCCTTGGTTTCCTGGCCAAGCCACTGTACCGGCAAACCTTTTGTTGTGTTTTTGGGATGGTACCACTTCTCCAACCCGAAACGCAGTTGAAATCGGGGTGCAAGTGTAGCCTCTTGGGATCCATGCTAATGTGCAGAGATTTCCATGCGCACTGCGATGTCAGGACATTCACGTCCCGTGGCCGCAGGCCAGTATATCGGGTTTGTAATATGTCGCAGGGACGACACAAACTTCAAGGCTGGTTGGAGCTTTGGGCTTTGTTTGTTGGGAAGCAGTGCAAAGTTCATTGGAGCCTGAAAATGTGAAGCTTTGTGCAGAGGGGTCAACAGCAACCGCGCAAAGAGGTTCCAGTTTTTGGCGGTGTTTCATTGCAAGCCAATGGACTATATATATATATATATATATACGACAGAGGAGTAAATGCTTCGCAATGCTGCCCCCAGCAATGGTCAGCAATTGATGAGGGCTCCCCCCCTCCCCCTCCTCACACTCCTGTGCGTACGTGTGCGTGCATGTGTGCTCAGTCACAACCAACAGCAACTTCTGCGCAACTTTCTTGTTTGGTCCATGTATGTGCCATGATTGAGTTGTATGCGGAGAGCCTTTGGCAGAAGCGGAGCAGGCTGATCAGCATGCCTTGCGGGAAATATTTTCCTTGTGCTTCAGCGCAGCCAGCCTAAACCACGCATTGCTTAGGCTTGACACTGGCATGCTCCTTCATTCTGCACAGCTTGTTTCTTTGGCCGATGTTTGGCTCGCCCTCCCGTCCAATATTGCCTGCCGTGTTGTTTTCCAGAAAGGCCTTTTGCGTGAGTGCCCGAGAGTGCTACAACTGGCATTCTTGACACGCATGCCACTTTGTTTCTGGCCAGCTTCAATCCTAGGGATTTGAAAGGAACCATGCCCCCAAACCCACCGAACCATCTAGGAACAACTGTTTTGTTAGGGCCTAATAGGGGTAGGGGCTTTGGAAGCAACTCCACTCTGATCGATAGTGTGCAAACCTCTTGGCTGTTAGGTCAGGTCAGTTCAGCTGGGGGGGGGGAATGGCCTGCAGCCTTGATAGACAGAGACATGGACATGCTTCCAACAACAAGGATCGAGTAGTCCTCTTGCAAGGGCTCCGAGTGGGAAAATGGTTACATCCCATGTTCTTGAAACAGCAGTTTGGGAGTAATTGGTGGCAGGCATTTGAGATCATGGCCCTTTCTTGTCCTGAACCCGTCTTACTTTCCGAGATGCGAGGCTTCATGCCATTTGGCAAGATCATTTCTGGGGCAAACCACGGGTTCAGCCGGTGGGTGGCCTTCCTGGACATTGTCCATTGACCAACCGCTGCTTCTCGCGCTAGGGCGTCGCGCTGGATTTGAGCACGCCGCCTCAGTCGCCGCGGTCGTTCTTCCCGAAGGACAGCGGTGAATGAGGAATTGGGAACCCCATTTTAATCAGAGATAGCAACTGCGCAATCTATATCGAGCTCGCCTATCTAACTTGAGCTCACCCGACAACGATCCCTGAATTCGTCCTAGGAATACCTTGCAAAGTGACAAAGTACAAGTAGCTTTGCGGCTGGGAATCCAACCTGCAGATGTAAATGCTCGCAGTTTGCCTCAACCTCAAGCCTTTCCACATGAGCTCAACCTTTGATTCGGGTTTCCAATTGAGTTGGGGATCATGAAACATGTCAAAGGGAACAAGGACAAAATGTGGTGTGTAAATCAAGGTGAAAGGGGGAAGTGTGGTAGGCTCGGGTATGGAAGGCAAACTGGAGTTTTTGGGGCTCGCGTATGGACCCAAGCACCGGATCCAGCTGCGGTAACCAGGACTTCTGCTCTCCACGAGGCCGGGCTTTCAGGCTTAGCCCCAGACACCCACTGGGTTGCAAGCCCCTTTTTTTTTTTTCTTTCCGGAGGGGGTGTGCCTTTAAAATCGACTGCAAGAAAAAGGCGCCATGTTTTTTTTTTTTGTTGTTGTTGTTTTTTCCCCCCCATGGCCACTGGGGAAACAGGGTTGGTAAGAATGGTCCTTAGCAGTGTGGGCTGCCGTTAAGCCTTCTCAGATTCAGTCCGCGCATCTCTGTAGTTTCAACACAATCCGAAGTCTACAGGTAGCTGACAGTGAAGCAAGCAGTACGTATTCGCGTATACCAGCGCCTAAGTCTGAGCATGACCATGTATGATTTGAGTCTTATCAGATGTCTTATCAGTTATGCACCTCCATCAAAGTAGCCACCATTGTTTGTCGACTGTTTCTTACTAGGCCAGCTCAGTGGGCCGTTTTTTGGCACTGTCTAGACCGTGGCGCAGCTTGATGTTACCATCCTATGGGTCCATTCGGAGAAATAGAACATTTAGCCCTTGAGGGGAATGATGGAACCCCTTCCAACAAAACTCACCACGCAGTACCTCCGAAGCTCCACGAAAGGGTGGGGGTATGCCCCAACAAGTCTAAGTTGGGTAGCGCTTTCATGCGCTTTCCAAGGCTCTCAAGCAGGCTCCTCTGCTCTGAATCGACTGAAAGCCGGGCAATGCCAAAAGGGGAACCGTTCGATTTGCCTTGGTCTTGGCAATTCGGGGAATGTCTGCGGACTTTTAGGTTGACCCTGGGGCCAATCCGCGAGAAGTCTGTCCTGGGCTCGGCGAGGCAGCGTGCCGCTCAGCTGCCCCAGGGCGCCCCAGCGCAGCAAGGCACCGCCGCTGATGCAGGCCTGGCCTGGGCTTCAGAGGGGGGGGGAGTTGTTTGGAAGTTTCCCTGGTCCCCTGGAGCGAATGAGGGACATGATGTACCATCTTTAGTGGGTTTTCATTGTGCTCTTTAGTGGGTTTTCATTGTGCGAATGCCTGGCTTCATTCCCACATTCCCTAGCGAGAACCAGCAAGTCAAGGGCTCTATTTGTCTCTTTGTCTACTTGTCTATTTGTTCAAACGGACACCTAGAATGGTGACAAGCGGAGCCTTCAACACGTGTTGGCCAGCTCTTCTTTTTTTCCCGGGGGAGGCCCTTCTGATTCCATGCGGGTTCCAGGGATGTTTTGCAAGCTCTAACATTCATGTCGACCACATTTCAAGACAATTGTTGCAGTGGCGTCCAATGGGATTTACAACAGTGTTCATGATGAAGCATTTGTAGTCTGCTGCAGTGACTAGTTTGACTTTCTGGACTGTTTTGACGTTGATTTCAGGAATGTGCTGACTTCCTTGGGTAGGTGTACAGCATGATTTTTGCCCTGCTTTCTCACTTGTGGGCACTGAAGGAAACCTGGTGTTTTGCCGGCTTGGCCTACACTTCTGTTCAAGCCGAAGTTCAGCTCCAGGTTTGGTGGAGTACCAGAGAACTGGCCTTGTATTCAAGAGGGTATGGGTCAAAAGTAAACCACCAGGGGACCGCAGGTTTTGGTCCATGTTTCCATTTACCAGGGTTCCATTTGGGGTACCTATTTTTGACCCACAGCCAAGAAGGGCCTTGTATTCATGAAGGTGAACTTGTTGTTTCCTTTTCATGCGATTCGTTTTGGGTGTCTGATCGGCCACTCATATGTTGTCATTTGTTTGGATCTGTTGGCTGGGAGGGCTGATGCAACTCGACTCGACCCCTCGAAAGCAGTTGTTGCGATGGGTCTTGGCACGTCTCCAAGATCAATGACTGCCAAACCACAGCATAACTGCATGGGGTGTTTTTCAGCACCATATAATGTTTTAGGATCGACTAAGTATGAAACAGAAAGAGCACCCCAGACGTGGACCAAGATATTGTCAAACATTAAAACCCATTTCACCGTGAATCCACAAGACCACCTAGCAACCTACAAGTTCGAAGGACCTGCGTGAAAAACATGGCCAAGCATGTCTGAATAAATGGCCAAGGTGACAAGTTGGTACTTTACAAGCATTTGGTTGGAACCTGTGCAAGCAAGGGCACTTCACCATGGGCGGTGCTGCTCAGCTGCTAATTCACCCAACCCTCGCTCAAAAAAGACTCGAACCAGGCTGCCAGAATCGCCGTCCTCTCAAACGCAAGCCCAATGGTCGATCTGCACCGGGCTACCGCTGGATAAGTGATGGTTCTGATGCCGCGCATCCAGCACTGGCAAATGGCATGTCTGGCTGGGGAAGGGGGGGGGGGCAGGGGCGATATTGGAATCAGACTCGGGAAAGAGGGGGGTGCGTCTTTCTCAAGCATCCGCAGTGGGACAGGCTGATGACCGCGTCGGTCAGCTAGTTTGAACGATTTAGACGTTGACGTTGTTGCCATTGACAGGGTTGGTAGCTAGTCACACGCCCGCCCTCGCGTCTCATGAAGAGCCTTACCAGTGGGCAACTGCCGGAATCTGGGGTCTCTTCTTATTTTATTGTTATTTTAGGGTTGATGGAATATGAAACATAATCTGAATAACACTTTCTTTTGAAAGGTGGGCCAAGGTATGTTGAAGGTAAGGGTTGCTGATAGCACAGATGAGAGCGGGTGGGGGGGGGGTGCGCTCGGGGTGCGCAGTCCCAGTCGCATTCACATCCATTTAGTAAATGGAATCACCTGACAATACATATATATATATAATACGCACATATAGCTACTAGGTTGACTGGCTGTTGGGATTCGTCCATTCAGAGCCGCCAACGGTATACACACGACCCAGATGTTGGTTGGACCTTTGTTTTGTTCTGCCTGCCAAATGCCCAATATGATGTGCTATTGTAAGCCAGGGGCTATTTGATTTAGAGGCTTCCTCCGATCTCCGGGCCAGGTGAAGCTGAGCAGCTGGCAAGAAACGACGTTCATGCCCGGCCATGCGTGAAAGTATCAGCGTGGAAGTACCCACTTGGCACAGGACAGCCACAGCCGTAATCCAAGGGCAAGAGCAAGGGCTGGGGCCAAGCCCTGAGGCTGGGGCTGGGCACATGAACGCGTGCACCGCGTTGGGGCTAGGGGCCAGAGGCAGGGCCGCAGTCCAGGGGCGAGGGCAGAGCGCCAAAAACTGGGGGTAAGCCGCTCCGAGGTGCTCCTAGTTGGCTAAAAATGGATTTGGGCAAGTTTGGCAAATGCTCCCCAAAGACTTTCCGATTTCAGGCTCCAGCACTTCGCGCTGGAGCTGTCAGAGTGTATACGGCGCTCTTCACTTGTACTGAAAAGTTTTGACTTGCGAGCAAAAGCTGCCAAAACACTGCAAAGCGATGCAGAGGAAAAAGCCGATACTAGCCAATACCAGGGTATAAGGTCGTCCCCGCAAACAACACGTGGGTGTGTCAGGGGGCCAACCCAAAAAAGGTGGCCTCAAAAAGGCTTTCTGTTTGGGAGTCCGCAGTTTCTGCGTGCACAATCGACTGCAGGCTCTTCAGAGTGGCGCAGATTGCGTGAACCTCAGAAAGCTCGTTGGCGAGGGGCCTTTGGATTTTGAGAAGCCCAACTTATAGGATATGCGGTGCGCAGGCCCTTATTTCAAACCAGAAGCCTTATTTAAGTGGCAGCGAATCATTGGAAGATAAGGGCAAATGGCAGAACTGTGCTGGCACAGGGATGTCGCCGGGCATTCTGCCAAGAGGCTGGGTACCCGGGGCAATGTACAAGGAAACCAGTCAGCGGCCCATCAATTTCAGGCAACCGCGTATGGGTCCATCAGTTTGAGACAAGCCCATATTTTGATTTGGCGCTTTATTTTTCCCAAGGAGCTGGAGCACCCAGATTTCACGGGGTCAAAAAAGGGGCGAAGCAAGACGTCATCTTGATACAGCTCGGGGATTATCCCGCTCCCATCTTGTCAGATAGATGCTCTTGATTGCGGGTTCCCAGGCATCGTCCATCATCATACAAGAAACGCGCTAGCCATAGGATCCCGATGTGCGATTAAGAGGAGTTCCGTCCATGATACGAATCTGTGAGCCGAACACGGCATGGTTCCGATCTGTGGTTCGCACTTGCTCGCAGGTTGGCCGTTTGTTTCGTTACAAGCTTCAAATGAGAAGCCGAGGCATTGGTGGGTGTTTGTGTGTGCTGGAGTCAGTCGAATGCCTGGATGGGACAGGTGGCCAGTTCACATAGATTCATCACAGTCATTGACATTCAACCCAAAACTGACATCTCTTGGGCTGTGGATGCCCTGAAGACCAGATAAGCAGCTGGACTAGTGCTTGTCAGAGTACTGCATTCGAGATCGGGAGACGCAATAATTGCATAATTTCTCCACGTCTTGCTAGTTGTTGGCATCCATGTGGCACATTAGGTTGGGTGCCACTGACCTAGTGAAATACTAGCGACCGATTTCACCCATGAATATGTGTTGCGCTTGCGCACTCTTATTGTGGATTGGAGACCTCGCTAGGACAATTGACGGACAAGAGCCGAGCTCACCAACCTAGGATTCCTTGTTTGAATGAAATCCATTCCACTTTGAAGCTCCAAGCGTGAAATCCGCATTCCGAAATCGAATTTTGCTCGAGGCCACGCCACGTGCTTGGCCGTGGAGGCTGTGCTGGCCCAGGATCCGGAGGCGGGAGGTTTGTGTCTCAGCACCCCCTGCCCAAGTGGGGGTTCCAGGGTCAGTGTGCAGGGTTTCCCCTACTTAGAAACTCATTTTGTGAGCTGCTTTGCACTTTGCACTTTTGGGGAAACAAGTTTCGTGATAAAGGAAGTGTTCGGAAGTTCGGGCTGTTTTGAGCCAATCCACTCAGGAAGTGAGGAATGGTTTGACTTACTGGAGTTTTCCCACGAGTCGGGGACTTTCTTGTTTGCCCTCCAAGAGTCTGAAAAGGACTCGTAATGTTGTCAGCCTCTCATTCGGCTGTATGTTTCGAGCGAGTTGGTGTCATGTTGGTTTCCCTTTGAGACCAAAAGGGTGCACTTGTTTTGTGACAGCCATTGAAACAAACTTCTCGGATTGGGGGCAACTGGCCGACAATCCACGAAGCCGTTCTTGCGTTTGCCAGCCACTGGGTGCGCTGCACAGTTGCGACGCGAGCTATCGTGTCAGCCCAAGTCGTCCCTGAAAGGCGGAACTAAGCTATGCGCTATATATTGGCCCCATAACTTCCATGGTCATAGTGGCTTTCACAAGGAGATGGATGTTTCTCGAGTTGTTCAGCCAATTGTTCAGCCCATTTTGGCAAGTGGCTCAGTGAGGGAGGTTGCGTTTAAGTTCCACTGCAATGGGTCATGCGAACGCGCTTGAGCTTCCACAGAAACCCTACTGAACAACTGGGTTGACAGAATGACCTTGCTTGATTCCCTGTTAATGCCAGCCTGACTTGCTCAGCTTGTCACTCTTTTGAATGGGTCTTTGAGCGAACAAACATGTGCAGAGCCAGTGGGTGCAAAGGTCAAAACATGTACCAACATGGCACCTTGGTTATATGGAAACAAAGACAGCCTGCGAAGCCCCGGCTGTGTAATTTTGAGCCACACTTAACTTTGGTGCATTTTGTTTGGATGTTAGGACTTTCACTTTTTGCCAACTATTGGGTTTTCCATTAGACCACTAAAAGTTAAGCTTCTGACAGGGGAGCAGAAACCTCCCTCCAACTAACACAACTGACAGGGGCTCCCTTCATTTCAGGAAATGAATCTTCCAGGTACCTCCCATATACCATGTTAGTTGGAGGGTCAGTGAGAGGATGGCTGGTCAGGCTGCGCAGCTTCCTTTCATCGAGTGCAACTTTGAGCCGCCGCTCTGCTGCGCCGTGCGCTCCTTTTGTGATGCCCAGGCCCGGGCTCCTCTCGCCGCTTTTTTGGCCGCGCGACTCGTGGTGTTGCTGGATGGTTTGCGTGTTCTTCCTTGTCGTCTTCTTCCTTCTTCTGTGTCTTTTTCTTTTGTATTATCAGGATTAGTCCGTTCTTCTGCTTGTGTGTTTCTGGTTTTTCTTGCTTGCCTTCTTACTGTTTTCTGTCGTTATTGTCTTTTGCTATCGTTATTGTTGTTATTGTAAAACAGCACCCTTTCCATCATCTGGAAGCCATCGCAAGGTAATTCGCCTGCTGATTGAGCGCCAAGCTGACGTGCATCTCTGCGACTCTTCAGAGCGCACTGCTCTGGACATTGTGAACTACAGGCCAGAGGAGGGGAGTGATATGGGTATGGGTCAAAAGTAAACCAACAGGGGACCGCAGGTTTTGGTCCATGTTTCCATTCACCAGGCTGCCATTTTGGGTACCTAGTTTTGACCCACAGCCATATGAGCAAAAGTCAATATTTGCTGTTGTCTACGGTCGTCAATGGTATGACATACGCTCACCAAGATGTCATTAGGACCATCGGGTTACTCATCAAGATCCCATGTCAAGGGGGATACGTTTCGACTGTGAGGCAATGTTGAAATGTTGATGTCAGGTCTCTTTGCTGGGCCATTGGCAGGAGAGTGGTTTGGTTTTGCATCCTGAAGTGGCACACGAACTCAACGTCTGAATTGGTTGTTTGCATTGGTGGTTTGGAGATTTGAACCCCAGTCCTTTTGGGCTATGGCGACTAACAATTGCGGAGCGATTGGCTTTCTTGTTTTTGGTTTGAGTGTGTTGTGCTGCACTCAGGCTTTCCTTTCTCGGTCTTTGCGCGCGTTTGAAGGGTGCGCATGCAGCCACTGAATCTGAGTTGATTGACCCTCACCACCCCTGCCGAAGCGCTTTGAAAGTGTCTTGCGGAGGTTGAATCGACTTTTTGTGTCGCAGATCAACGGAGTCTCACCAGACCCCTGGACTATACTCCGGAGACTAAATCCCACGTGAGGAAATTGGTGGTACATAAGAGGTAAATGAGGCATGGCTGAATGCTAATTTGTGCTTTTCGGGTCAAGTTTAGGTGTGACGTACTGAAACAGACTACCAACCAATAGCCGCGGCGTGAGTATGAAAACTTTGCAAGCCTTTGGCCCACAGAATGACGTTAAGATTCGTCTTGCTACACGTCCACAGAAAATACGGGAATACTATGGGAAGACTACAATGAAGACTACAGGAAGCCTACCGGAAGATTCCGGCACTGCGGGAAGATTGCGGCAGGGCTACAGGGAAATGCTAGTATGACACTGTAATTGAAAACCGCAAAAGATGGACAAAGAGAACAATCAGAAGTTTGCAGCAGTTTGCAGTTTGAAATGGCACGAGGTTTGATTCATTCAGCTGTGGACCATGACAGGCAACACACTATTTGTTGTGTGCAGTAAGCGCAGAATCCGGCAATTTGTTGAGCCTGTTTGTGCTCCGTGGCCATGTCTGCTGTCTTTTGGTTCTGACCTGCACCTCAGGCTTCAGCATTCCAAGCGCCTCGTGATTCAATTTACAAATGTAGCATCATCATTCAAATCCTAAATATGAAGGTAGGACACCCTGATTACCTACTATAGTGTTAACTGGCAGAGGGTCTATGGTTAACCTCCATTTCCTTTTGTCTCTTCAAATAGGCGGGCCAAAGGCTAAGAGAAAGCGGATTTTGCGCGCGGAAGACAAAGGGCTCCTTCTGGAACGAAACCCTCAAGGCAACCTTTCATGTCCCGAGCGCGAAGCCATGAACGAACGAACGCTGCTTGATAGCAAACAACTGCGAAAGGTCTGCGGAGCAACGACCGCTCCTTGGAGCCATGTTGAACAACCATGAGGTTTTCTTTCCTGTCAAGGATTCCCCGAACGCGGTTGCATTAGTGTTTTCTTTTTTCCGGAAAATGCGAGCTCTAGGCAGTTCCGCTTTGGAAGTGTTCGAACAGCATGCTGCGCATGCGATATGACAAACCCAATTCCAAGTCGCTGGCGCCCACTGATCGCACAGAGCGGCGATACATTAGATCCCTTCTGGCTTGAACTGGCCTACTAATCTTTAGAAGCAGCGAATGGCGAGTAGCAGGCGAGTAGGATTTTGTTGGGCTTGCTGCAACAGAACTTTGATGGCTTTAAGTTGCCCCTTTCAGCAACTTAGGATGCTGGGAAGTGGTAAGTTTAGTTTGCGCTTGGCCGTGTCTCCTTTAAGAACAGGGGTCTCTTTGGAGTTGTGACAAACTGTGTGGATTGGCCGCTTGCGCAAAGTCTTTGCCAGGGTTCAGAACTTTGCCACGGCCTACGATTTTATGTGCCACACCTTTGCGTGGGCTCTCAGCTTCGCCTTGAGCCCCAAAAGAGACACCCAAAAGGAACATCAAGGAACCCTATTAGTAAGCATTCGCTGCTGGCCCTAGCCGCTCAGGCCGGCGAGTCCCTGGATATCCAGCAAGTGAAATTGGCTTTGCTTGCCTTGCAATTTGCAGACGTAGCCTTTCTCAAACGTCGAAGTGGGTAAGGGGCCATTCCAGAGAGCAATCATGAACTCACAGGCGTTGGTTTTGTGAAGATCGTTGGTGCTTTTGCTTGCCAGAGCTTCTAATTTGAGCCTGGGGATGGTGAGACTGGGGATGGCAGGTTATGGACCCCTAGGGAAGAAAAAGACTTCTATGGTAAGCAGTCCTAGGGAACCATGACCACAACTTCACTCTCAGGTGTTCCTGGACTTCGAAGCTTTTTGGGAAGACCAGTTTGGAGGTAAAAAACAAGTTTCGGACTTTTCCGGCCAATCCACTCAGGAAGCGAGTGAACCATAGGAGTTTTGACCATGTCAAACGCTCGACATTCTGAGGCTCAGAGAATGCAGGAGGACAACGAGATAGTCGAGGCATCCGGCTCAAGCACCTGTGATTCTTCAGTGGGGTTGGTGGTGTGACTCAGCAGCTTCGCTTCATTTGATTGAGCAAGGTGCTCAGATGTACATGTTGGGTCGAAAAGCTGGCAAAGGTATTGGGATAAAAACCTACAATTTGGGCACATACGGCTGCGCGCTTTTTGGGGGAACCTTTTGCGGTTTGTTTCAAGGAAAACCAACAGGACCACAATTTGGAGGGTCCCCCATCTTAGTTCGCGCCCATCGCTCCGACTCTGCTCCCCAGGTGCTTCACAAAGCCGGCGCCGTTGCCAGGCACGCTCGAAGTGTTGCGAACGCCTTTTCCCAGGCGTCCAGGGCATTTGTTCTCTCGTTTTGATGGGTTAAACCCAAGTAATTTGTCGAAACCAATGGGAATTGGTCCCGTACAGTACCTTCCCCGAGCATCGGATTGCTGGGTTGGGCACGGGAGAAAGACCAAAAGGCATGTTTTTTGGGGGGGCAGCACTGCCAGTTCTCTTGGGAAGAGCTCTGCGGGTCCCTTTCTGAAAGGCGTGAAAAACACCAGGGTTGCGTTTTTTTCTGTCTATTTCTCATGCCACGGGAAAGCAACACGGGCGAGCCGCGCAGGGCATGGTTCCTTGTTTCTCTCTTTCTTTGGGAAGGGTGTCCCTTCAAAATCAAACAACAAAAGGTGCTCCTTTTCCACTTTTACAGGGCTGAAACAGATGCGCACCTGCACCTTGCAGCCCGTAAAACTAGAGAGCGGCGCTTGAGTCTGATCTGCAAAGTATGATATACTTTCTTTACTACGCTTGTACTGAAAAGTTGCAACTTTCGAGCCGGAGCTGCCAAAGTGCATTTTCTTTACTACACATGTACTGAAAAGTTGTGTCTTTTGAGCTGGAGCTGCCAAAGCGCACTTCCTTTACTACACTTGTACTAAACAGTTGCGACTTTCGAGCCAGAGCTGCCAAAGTGTACTTCCTGTTTGCGACAGCTGCCAAAGTGTACTTTCTTTACTACACTTGCACTAAACAGTTGCGACTTTCGAGCCAGAGCTGCCAAAGTGTACTTCCTGTTTGCGACAGCTGCCAAAGTGTACTTTCTTTACTACATTTGTGCTGAAAAGTTGCGACTTTCGAGCCGGAGCTGCCAAAGTAACTTTGCTACACTTGTACTGAAAGTTGCGTTTTTCAAGCCGGCAAAGTGTACTTCGATTTCACACGAAACGGTGAAATGCACAAGACCCTGCAAAACAATAGGGTTACAGAAAAACCGATAACCTCTACCCGATGTCCTTTGGCTACACAAGAGGTTTTGCAAGTTGCTTATGTGGCCATGGGTTATAACCTATGGCTCCAGTTTATTTTGCGCCACCAATTTGGATGATCACCGGCCGTGCAGGGTTTTGACCCACAGCCATATGACAGCTTGCTTCGCAGCTTGCTTGGGCGTCAAACAAATATCATCAGGCTGAAAGTCGCTCGATTCGCCTCGTTGCGCAGCTGCCATAACTTGACGACTGGGCTACAACCAGAAGTGCTTGGTGTGGCCGCCCTTTTGCCTCACGTCTTGGGTCATTTGCGTCAGGTTTGGTAAACAGACTCAGAGGCAGACAGTCCGTCACACTTGTTAATACTTTTTGGAACGAACTTCATGTGGTCCATAGACTACGTTGCTCATCACTAGCACTTGCGACTAGTGGGGAGGACCATTAAAGCAAACCGTTTCAGCAAACAAATTGTTCGGTATTCAAACAACACATGTTTGCAATCAAAAACCACACTTTCCAGACTCCCTTTGCATTGCTTGACTTGTGGTCTCTTGGTCCCCCAGGCCTTTTGGTCCTTTGGTCCCCCGGGCCGACCCCTTGGTCCCTTGGTCCAGGTCCTCGGGCCTTGGTATTTTGGTGGGAGCAGTTTATGATTGGTTTGTATTCTGGCACTTTCCCCACTAATCCTCCACCCACTCTAAACCCCCCCCAAGCCAACCCTCAACGCACCCTGAACCGCCAACACCTGCCCAACACATCCTAAAACCCACCCTAAACCTGCCCCAAAATCCCACAGACCCTCGACCAATCACGAAGCCACCCTGAACCTCCCCTAAACTCCCTAAGCCGGCCCTTTTTCTTGACAAAAAAAACACAGGCCGCCATCTTTTGGCCTCTTCTCCCATGGACCCTTAGTCTGGTCCTTTCCCGTCTCATCCCCCCGTCCCTTGCTTGTTATGGTCAAAGGAAGTTTAGAAGGAACTTCCATGTTACGGCAACTAATTGAAAGTTAGCTCTCTGAGAAAGTTAGTTTCGCTGGCTCTACTGGTATTTATCTTCCTGTCCCTTGGCCCTCTCGCCTTTTTGGGTCCTTCCGTTGCATCATTGCCCTACCTGCTCGTGTTCTGCTCTGAAGGTCGTTTCGTGCTTTCGTCCTCTGGGCCTGGCGAAGCACCCGGTTCAAATTCTGCCCCTGAGTGAAGAATTTGCTGTTTGCTATTGATTGCAGGTGTTTTTTTGATGTTTGAGGAATCTGCTGTTGATTGCAGGTGTTTTGTTGATGTTTGAGGAATCTGTTATTGATTGCAGGTGTTTTTTTGATGTTTGAGGAATCTGCTGTTGATTGCAGGTGTTTTTTTTGATGTTTGAGGAATCTGTTATTGATTGCAGGTGTTTTGTTTGATGTTTGAGGAATCTGGTGTTGATTGCAGGTGTTTTTGATGTTTGAGGAATCTGCTGTTGATTGCAGGTGTTTTTTGTTGTTTGAGGAATCCGTTATTGATTGCAGGTGTTTTTTTGATGTTTGAGGAATCTGCTGTTGATTGCAGGTGTTTGTTTGATGTTTGAGGAATCTGTTATTGATTGCAGGTGTTTTTTTTGATGTTTGAGGAATCTGCTGTTGATTGCAGGTGTTTTTTTGAATGTTTGAGGAATCTGTTTTTGATTGCAGGTGTTTGTTTTTGATGTTTGAGGAATCTGTTATTGATTGCAGGTGTTTTTTTGATGTTTGAGGAATCTGCTGTTGATTGCAGGTGTTGTTTTGATGCTTGAGGAATCTGTTATTGATTGCAGGTGTTCTTTTGATGTTTGAGGAATCTGCTGTTGATTGCAGGTGTTTGTTTGTTGTTTGAGGAATCTGCTGTTGATTGCAGGTGTTTTTTGATGTTTGAGGAATCTGTTGTTGATTGCAGGTGTGTTTTGATGTTTGAGGAATCTGCTGTTGATTGCAGGTGTTTTTTTGATGTTTGAGGAGTCTGTTATTGATTGCAGGTGTTTTTTTGATGTTTGAGGAACCTGTTATTGATTGCAGGTGTTTCTTTGACGTTTGAGGAATCTGTTATTGATTGCAGGTGTTGTTTTGATGTTTGAGGAATATGTTATTGATTGCAGGTGTTTTTTGATGTTTGAGGAATCTGTTATTGATTGCAGGTGTTTTTTGATGTTTGAGGAATCTGTTGTTGATTGCAGGTGTGTGTTTGATGTTTTGAGGAATCTGTTATTGATTGCAGGTGTTTTTTTTTGATGTGTGAGGAATCTCTTATTGATTGCAGGCGTTTTTTGATGTTTGAGGAATCTGTTGTTGATTGCAGGTGTTTTTTTTTTGATGTTTGAGGAATCTGGTATTGATTGCAGGTGTTTTTTTGATGTTTGAGGAATCTGCTGTTGATTGCAGGTGTTTTTTTGATGTTTGAGGAATCCGTTATTGATTGCAGGTGTTTTTTTGATGTTTGAGGAATCTGCTGTTGATTGCAGGTATGTTTTTGATGTTTGAGGAATCTGTTGTTGATTGCAGGTGTTTTTTTTTTGATGTTTGAGGAATCTGGTATTGATTGCAGGTGTTTTTTTGATGTTTGAGGAATCTGCTGTTGATTGCAGGTGTTTTTTTGATGTTTGAGGAATCCGTTATTGATTGCAGGTGTTTTTTTGATGTTTGAGGAATCTGCTGTTGATTGCAGGTATGTTTTTGATGTTTGAGGAATCTGTTGTTGATTGCAGGTGTTTTTTTTTTGATGTTTGAGGAATCTGGTATTGATTGCAGGTGTTTTTTTGATGTTTGAGGAATCTGTTATTGATTGCAGGTGTTTTTTGATGTTTGAGGAATCTGTTACTGATTGCAGGTTGTTTTTTGATGTTTGAGTGCTTGAAACAAGCTCGGCGGCGAAACAGCTGCTTTTTGATACCCTACCCCGACGAATGCGCCCCTCCGGGCGTCAGCTTGCGTTGGATCGGCCACGCGCGTGCGTTCGTGCGTGCGTGCCTATACAGTTTTATGGTATAGATAGAAATCGTATGTTTGTATCCCTCGTACCCATGCGCTGCTGGCTACATTTTGAAAAAGTAGAAGACACAGTTTCCGCATCTTGATTTCATCATTACACAAGTCCCACATTGACCGGGAGTTGTGCCCGGGAGTTGTACAAGTGATCTCACCCGGCATGGTCGGCGAAGCTTCTCAAGGCCTTCGAAGGTCTTCAAGTGGTCCTTTTGGTTTATCCGAAAGACCCCCCCTTTCCAACGCAAGTGCACCAGGGGCCCCAAAGGAAAGTGGTCTTCCAGCACCCTCTGATCGAAAGCTTCCATGATGGTTGGGAGGGTACTTGGAGAAACGTCCATTTGAAGTACCAGTTGGTCGCTTCGGCAATCTGCGCTCAGGAAGATAGAGAAGCCTGGAGTGGCTGAGAATTTGGATTTCCTGAACCTGTTCCGCAGCTGGGGGTCCCATTTGGGACTTGGGACCCGGGTACAATCCCCCCAGGAATTATGTTTTTTTTGGGGTTCCTCCCCCCCCGCTAAAGCGGTGGAACAAGAGGAAATGAAGGGAATGGCCGCAATTTTGGGAGGTCCCCTTTTTCACACACGCCCACACACACACGTTTAGGTCTGGGATCCGGGAAGCCAGAAAGATTCAAAGTGGTTGCATTCAGAGGGCTTCGCAAAATTCAAATGGATGGGGGAAACTGACATGTGAACTCACAAGGAGGGTTGTTTTTACGGCGTTTTAGTGCGGTGAGTATTCCCGACCTAAAAGATAAAATTGCCACACTTCAATCATCGAGTCCATCTCGGCACGAGCCCGAAGTACCCGTCTAAGGGTTTTTGGTACCCGGTACCAGGCAAGGAAGCCGCGTGTCATATTTTGGAGGTCTCCTCTACGCATATATCATATTTTGGGGTGGGCTGAGACAGAAACAGGAAATGAGCTATGTTTGTGCCCAATTCGTGCCGGGGAGGGGGAACTGGAGCATTTCTGGTGTCCAGCACGTTTGTCAGGAAAGATGCTACGTAATTCGAACCGTGGGAGAACGAGCAGCAGCTGCTCAGCTGCCAAATGTTCCGTGCGAGACCGGCATGTTGACACCATCCGCATCTCCCGAAACGGGAGGCGCGCAGGAACAAGGCATTTTTCCTGACAGACGGCGCCTTGTTCCTGCGCGCCTCCCGTTTCGGGAGATGCGGATGGTGTCAACATGCCGGTCTCGCACGGAACATGTGGCAGCTGCTCTTTCTCCGGTTCGAATTACCGTAGCAGGTAGTTCAAAAACCACCGGTGGTAACTCAACCAGCCTTTCTCCTTGGTGAAATCCTGCTCGCTTCCGGTTCTGAAGGCCCTCGAGACTCGAGCCGAGGTCCCTCCAGCTTCATGGAGCACCTTCCGATTTTCTGCCGGTGAACCTTATAGGGGTGGATCAAGAACTGATTCGCGCACCGTTGAACTGTAGGAATTGTGGCCCTTGCAGCCAAGGGCCGCGCACGTCGATGCTTTCAAGTGCGGGTTCTCAAGTTAAAGTCCGCCTTGCCATTCCTCATATATCCGCGGCCCGTTGACGCAGCTCAAGAATTCTCAGTCCGTTGTTTTGAGATGATTTGGTTGGCATGGAACAACGCACATTTCGGAAGATCGGCTGTCGAATGGCAGACGCTTCGCCGAATCGAGCATCAGAGGTAATAACTTGCAACGCATGACCTGAATTGGCTGAGTGGACCGGAAGTGGCATGAGGTCGGATTTCCGGATTTCGCTTCCTTGCTTGCCTGGATTGGATTGCGAAAGCCACGGAACAGCGGACAGTTTGGTACAAGGCTTGGCTATAGTTGCCGCAACTTGCGGGGGAAAACCATTTTACATCTGGCTATGAGGGTCACGTTGGAGCACCGGCGATGTAAGATGTGGAGTTTGATTCGGCAGTCAATGCGATTCATCCCACTGTTGGTAACCAGGTACGCAGATTGCCTGCGGAGTTCTGTCCAAAAAAACCACCAGCTAGGGTTCAGTATGGTCAGTAGCAAACAGTGTTCTCAAAGCACTGCAAGAAAAAAAACACAACAACTTGAACATATTTTCCTAGTGCCCTAGGTTTGCATGACGAAAGCTGTAAGGTTTGCAATACCCGAGGAATAGTCTTTGCTGACCTCCGCCAGTTCCTGGAGCATGGGGGTGAGGAATTGGCTCGCTCCCATTGCGAGCCTCGAAGGGCGTATGGTTCGAACCATAGAATCATTCCGATATCATGAGGTATCTTGAGGTAAGTCTTATAAATCAATGAACCCTTCTGGGCTCGCTTGCTTCAGCCTCTTGATCCTCCGCGTGCTCGATGCAATCTTCTGCTGACAGTGACTGCAGTCTAGTCGAAGGAGCCTGAGAATCCGCAGCTCTTATTTGGGGGGGGGGGAGATCGGCTTGCCAAGCCGTCGGGGGGATTCCGGGAGGGAGGAGGGGAGGGTGGGGATGGGCCTGCATAATCCAAAGCAAGGCTGTTAGCAGCGGACCGCCCCGGAGTGACTCTCTCTTTGCCTTTCAGCATGTGCGGGCTGGGTTGAAAAGAATCCCCTGCATCAGGCGATCTGAGTGGGCTCAGCTCGTCCGGGTTTTATAGCTCTCAAAGAGGCACGAAATACAGAGCAGGTGGAAAGATACCTGCCAGCGACCAGTTTGTGCCTTGAGTCGCGCTGTCACCAGTCGTCCACTGGGCTGAGGTCTAATGAGTCTGGCAGCTTAACATTTTCCATGATTGCAGTAGCCTGGGACAAACAAACATGTATGAAAAAACTCCTGGCTTTCCAGCAATGCTTCAAGAAGGTGTCAGTGGAAGAGTGGGCAGACCACTAGCCATCCAATCTGTCCACGGCACCCAGAAGCACCCGATTCGTCAGAGTCAGTGGAGGCTTGTCGCTCCAAGATTCAGGCGTGAATCGCATGGTTAGGTTTTCAGCCTGCCGATCAAACTGTTTGGTATTGCCCTCCGTTGAAGCCAAGCCCAAGAAAATGAGACAAGAGGATTGGGGAGTTGTGAGTTGGGCTAAACTGGCCGCATGGCGCTCTTTGTTTGGTTCCCTGCAGTTTCCGTTTGCACGGTTGTAAACATCACCTCACCTGTTTGGCCAGTTTAAAGTGAGTTTCCTTTTTGTGGCCATGGGATGTTTACAACGGAAACGTTGACACCCCTGTATATAATTAGCTCAGTGCGGCACAAGGAGGGATGACTTGCTAATCAATGCAGCTCAAACGTAGATTGTTCGTTGCCCAGACACAACTTTATCTAGAATGGAGGGAGAGACCTTTGGAGATTATCCACATGGTGTTGGATACACACCTGCCAATTGTGCGGTATCTTGTAGCTCAATTCAATCGACATTTCCTCCTTAACACAAACCCACATGGAATGCAAAAACAGCAGTGAAGCGAGAACTGGGAACCAAGTCATCGACTTGCAAAAAACAGATGTGTTGGGAGAACAGTTGAAGGTCCATGAAAGTTCTTTCGCACACTTGACTCAGGTTTGCAGGGACATACGTGTGCCTGCTTTGCGGCTGAAGGGGGAGCAAAAGCACACCAATATAATCTGTGCATTGTGTGGTGTGCTTTAGGCCAACCCACAGGAATTTCGAAGGAACATTATGTGATGCAAGTTCTTGCCAATGCTTTACTCAGCCGGTCTTTGATCTCAGCCGCTGCCAGCGCGTGTGGACAGTGTGAGCCGTGCAAGTAACACGTCAGTGTTGCGAGTTTGCGTTGCCAAAGAACAGCGGAAACCTCACAAGCCAGGTTCCTCTCAGGGCCCAATGATCTGAACGCCCGCAAGCTAAGGGTTTACGGTTAGTCCTGGTGTCTCAAAGGGATCCCTGGTACTTCGCTTCTTTTTCTGTGTTTGTGTGAAGCCATGAGGGGTCCAGCATGGCCCTTCTTTTGGTTGCTAATCGCGCGCCAAGACAAGTGGTCAATTCTTGTCGACCACATGTCCAATGTGGTGGTGCTGCACTTGGATTTCGACAAAATTTACAGCAAGGACTCAGAACTCAAACAGCGCTTGAATATTAGCTGTTATGTTTCACTTTTTGTTGATATTCACGATGTCAATTGCTTCCTTTTTTGTTGATATTCACGATGTCAATTGCCTTTGAATCAATGCGAGTGCGTGCTCTGCTCCTACTTGTGGATTTGCGATGAGCGCTCACTGATCCGGAATGTGACCCCCATGTTTGGTTATTTGCGAGAAATGGCCTTACTGCTGGACTTGAAAGGATAGTGGAACATTGAGGCCGGAGGTTTTGCTCACTGGCCAAATCCCCCGACATCCGGAGCAATTGGTCAGAAGGTGCCCTGTTCTGCGGCATAGCACGCGCAGCGGTTGGCTCCTGCCTGCTTTCTCAAGGCACTTTTGGTTGCGCGCACTGATAATTACCACTTGCACGCTGTTGGTCAGCGTCGCTGGTATCCAGCTTCATGCTGACCAACCTGTACTCGCCAACCTGGTGATCGAGGTCCGAGTCCGGGGAAAGAGTCGCTAGTAGATTGGAATATGGGGGTTTTTGGAACCTTGGCTGTGTGTTCGTCATGCTCATCAGCCTGAGGTTTGATTCTTAGCACTTCGCATAGCCTCGGGCATAGTCCATGGGCTTCTTCGTAAAGCTGTTGACAGGGCCTTTGCTTCGTTCGTCAGGTACTGCTTGAACTCTGTGCAGGTCCGGCAATCTTCTTGAATTCAGTCCTCAAACTGCTCCCAATTGTCTCCAATTGCGTTGAAGCTGTTCCTTGCTGAGGCTTGTTCTTTGGGAGTGTGGGAGCTGTTTCGATGGGCATGTCCTTTTTTGACACTCGTTCAGCCGGCGATGCGCCACGGGCCATGTTTCCTGCTTTCCGAGAAGTGCGCAAGCACAGCTCCAAAGCACCAGTGTGAAGCTGAAGGGACTTTGATCAAGTAGTATTTGCACGGCACCGCAAAGTATTGCTCTGGAAGCCAAACTCGCGCTTTTTTTATGCTCCAGCTTCACCTTTTTAGAAAGAGGTTCAGGTTCAAGATTTTGGTTTTGGAGTAGTCGTCGTTCAGAGATTTATATAAGCCCTGTCGGATTTTTTTGTTGCGGCATTGCCTCATGGCCATGGCTCATTTTTTGATCTTCGTGCTTCAACCAAAGGCTAGTAGAGGCAGCTAGGCCAATCTGGAGACATCCAATGCCCAATCAGACTTTGGAGTTTAGACAAATATGAACTAAACAGGCCCAACGCATTTGATTTGATGTGTTCATTTTACCATTTAGGCACTTGCCAGTGGAAACCTGCGATCGCCCGGGATTTCAAGCAAAACCCCTCTTCAGGGTCTTTTCCGGAAATTGAGGGCACAGGCCAAGAACCTGATCTTTGCACGCTCAGAGTTGATCAAAAGGTCCGTGATACATAGGATGACCATTGGTCGGAAAACCACTAAGAGGAGGAGATACTCCCCGTGAAATGGGAAAGGTGACCCATGAAGGCCAGCAATATTGATCACTTGGGTTTCAGTTTCAATGGCTTTGGTTCCCCCATCCAGCTAGGGTCCAACAAACTCTACCCAGAAAGCGCCCATGGGGCACAGGTGTCTGGGCGGTGTTTTGCTGGTGTCCCTGTCCCAGCGGTGTCTCTATAGGCTCCACCCGCCAACAAGCATTCTTGTCACCTCTCCCGCAGAAGTGGCGGGAATGGCTTTTCTCGTGTCGTGAGGTTCGAATTATTAACCGGCCACAAGCATTCTTGCCACGTTTCGAGCGAACGTGGCAGGAATGCCTTTTTGGTCACGTCCAACCCGTCCTGTTTCCCGGGCAAATCAGGAGAGGTAAGAAATCACAGCTCGTCCAACTCGTCCTGCTTTTCGCGTAACTGAGGAAGGGTAGGTAATCACACGTTCAACATGTCCTGTTTTGCAGGCAAATCAGGAGCTCGTCCAACCCGTCCTGTTTCCCGGGCAGTCAGGACAACGCGTCCTGTTTTCCACATAAACTCAGGACGGAATGAAACTACCGCCTGTCCAACCCGTTCTGTTTCCGGGGCAAATCAGGGCGGGTAAAAAATGTCCACCTCGTCCTGCTTCCCGGGACCCACCTACAAGCCAGCTCCAAAGGCAAATTCTCGACGCACTTCACGACCACCTTCAAAGAACCTTGAAACCATTTAAACAACCGCCTTGCAACCACTTTAAAACCGTTCAAAACCACCCCAACACCACCTCAAAACCATCTCGAGCCATCACCACCCCCTGAATCCTTGATACGGGGCGGGGGGGTCAAAACGCTAAGTTACATTGGCGCTCACCTTCCCTGGTCTTCCCTGGTCTTGAGGCATGGGAGGGGGTGAAACGTGCCAAAGATGCGCGAAGCCTTCCCCGCAAATCCTTCACGTGGCTCACCACGCTCCATTTAGCCCTGTCGCAGGCCTTAGTTTCCGCTCTGAACAGCATGCTTTGCTTGCAAGTCAGTCATTGCGCTCAGAGTTACCGCATTGCCGCTCGTTTGATTGTCGGCAAATGCTTTTCGCCTTGGCGCTTGTCACTTCTTACC